ATGGCTGTCTGACATGGCCCCAGTGGCGCTGGCTGTGCCAGGGGCTGCACAAACACAGACGGAGAGAGCCCCCTTGGCTGCAATGGACCGTAGCTGCACGTTTCTCCCTGATTTTCTGGAGGGAGCACTGGCAGAGGAACAGTGCCACTGTTTGCAGGCTGCCAGTGTGAGCTCTCCCATCTCAGTGCGATCCTGCCCTCTGGGACCAGCGTGCTTGGCCATGGCTTGGCAGTCCTGGACGCTGTGTCCCTCCTGCCAGGCAGTGTGGGTGGGTGGATAGCAACTCCAGACAATGGGTTACCATTGCTCTCATTATAGAGCAAGGGCTGATTCTGAGAAGCTGAATGCCCCCTGCCCGTGCTGCTTTTTGTGGCAGAGAAAAGCACATGGCTGATTTAAAGTCCTCTTGGGATGGAGCCCAAGAGCTGTGACCCCCTCCGCAGGGGACTGTCAGTCAGTCGCCCAACATTAATCATTAAGTAAAACACTTGAAACTCAACCCTGTGCTGGTTGCTGCTGTGACTCATCTCAGGCTTGCTGCCGCCTGTCTAAATGTTTTCACCAAAGCCATATGGAGTGGAAGTCTCTGGCTATTATACTCCTCATTAACGATACTTGCTTCCCTTAGGCCATGTGTGATGAATAGAGCTTTTCCAAGTTTAAGTCAAAGCTTTTTCTCCTTCCTTTTTTGCCAGGTTGAAATGGTGCCAGTCAGGTATCCTGTGGCTTGGGCAGCGTGAAGTTGATTTCTGCTCTTTGGTTGTGCTGTTGTGTGTGTAGCTGTGGGAGCAAAGGGACCCCTGGGCAGCATGGCCACACATGGATGTTATCCCTCTCCAATCCCAAAGGGAGAGGCAGGACTGTGAGCTTGATCACAGTTATCAAAAACATCCCTGCCTTAGGCCCTTGCTGCTGCCAGGCGCTTAGGGAGGATGAATGAAACCCATTCTCAGCTTTGGCAAAACCATCTCCAGTGAGAGCTTTTGCAGGATGTGCCAGGTTTTAATCCCTCATGAGCTCCAAGTGTCTGTTCTTGCCATTTGCAACTGCTGTATGGTGTCACTGTCATTGCACAGCTTCATGGGTGTGTGGTGCCCTTTGGTCTCACCACCATTTCAGAAAAGCTGTGATCTGGCCCATGTCTGTAGCTGCTGGGGTTTGGGAACTCAGCATCACCCCATACCTGCCTAGAGAAAGCATCTCCTGAGCTGGCAAGGAAGATCCATGTGCATCCCAGTCGGTTGTCACAGACTGATGTCATTACATGAAATTGCAGAGGAATTTGGACTGGGAGGCACCTCTGGAGATGTCCAGTTCAGCCCATTGCTCAAAGCAGATCAGATTGCTCGCAGCATGTCCAGGGGGTATTCTGGATCAAAGGTGGCGATCCTACAACCTCTCTAACCCCTGTTCCAGTGCCTGAGCAACCCTTCAGCCTGCTTATCCCAGCCTCTCCTCATTCATCCCATGCTCCAGCCCCAGCCCGCAGATCTTGGCATGATGACCTGTGGTCCTGGGCAGATGCTGGCAGATGGGAGGAGTCTCCATCAGCAAGTTCATCTCTCTCTCCTATCAGCTGCCTATTAGTCACCTGTACAGATTCACTGGTTTCTCGTGAGGTTTAGTGAATGGTTTTGGTGCAGAGACGTAGCTCTGTGTCCCCTTGTCCAGGTGCTCCCTCCCAGGGTTCATGGGTTTAGTTTTGCAGGAGGATTCTCCTGGGATTGCCCTCCCTCTGCTTCTGCCCTGCATTAAGGAGCTGGAGGCACATGGCTGCCCTCTGAGAGCTTCTTGTCCTGGACTCACTGCTTTGGCGAGCAGTTCCCTGGTGTGCCTGAGCACTCTCCTTGCCTGAAGGACACAGAGTGCCGTGACCTGGACCACACCACCTGAAGGCACAGCCAAGGGCTGAGGACCTTCCAGCTCCAGTCCTGCATCCATTGCTCTGCTGCGTGGTGTGGACGTGTCAGCTGTCTCCATTTTACAGGACTCTCCTGGCCTGCAGTGTCCTACAGAGAGGTGACTTTGGGAGAGCGTGTGAGGGTGGCTGCTCTCGGACAGAGTGGTTCCAGTCACACCACATCCCCTGCCTCTGATGGGAACCCACCCAGAGCTGGGCCAGGAGCTTCCTCACTCTTGTGGGCAGCTGCCTGAGGGCTGAAGTTATATCCCAGCCTCTTGCTACAGCCAGGAGAGAGCAACCCAGCACTGCCACCTCCTCCCTTCTTATATGAGGACTCAACTTTCCCATCTGGGATGCCTTCTGCTAATGAGGTTCTGGGATGAGATGGGAGAAGCAGCGATGCTGACACCTATTTCAAACCCTTGCACTCACCCACTGGGAAGCAGCTGGCTGACAATCTCAGCCCAATGCTTCTGCCACCAGTGATCAAAGATATTCTGAGTTATTCGCCCACCCACCCAGACCAGGAGTGACAGGCCCCCTTCTCCAGTCCCACTCCTGTGCTGCTAGGAGTGATCAGATTTGTCCTTGGCTAATGAAGGCTGCACTGGGCTCCTATCTTTGTTCATTGATGCATCTGTGGAATAGCCAGCTGCGTCATTTTAGCCTGGTCGCAGAAACGACACTTGGAGCAATGCAGGTTTTTCCTGACGGGTCTGGAGCTGCACTGAGGTACAGCCAAGCACCAGGGAGGAGCTGCCTACAGGCACACGCTGGCTATACTGGCTTCACCTTCACACATGGTGTTACCCCCACTGCTCGGTGGTGCTGGGTGTGGGTGCAGTAAAATGTCTCAGGCAAGAGGAGCTCTAGGGTGGCAGAGCAGCAGGACACTTGGGAAGAGGGACATCAGCATCTCGCTCCCCTAGCAACCGCAGTGCGGTCCCCTAGCAACCACATCCTGATCCTGTAGCAACCACAGTCCGGTCCCCTAGCAACCTCCTTCAGGCCCGTAGAAACAAGGCTACAGGAGGGTTGCTGTGCAAATTAGCAGCAGAGGCTTTGAGCAAGAGCTGATGGAGGGCAACGCATCCAACCCCACACCTTGTCCAACCTGTGTATTTGTTGCTGTCCCCTGAGCAGACACAGGTTCCTGAGAGCATCCTGAGAGCTTACAGTGGCGAACAGTGGAGGATTCAGCAGACTGGCATTGGCTGAATGTGGCCTTTGTGGCTAGGGGAAGAGGGGAATATACTCCAAGTAGTCCTCTTGAGTTTCTAAGCCAGAAACATTGAAAAACTGTTCTCCAAACTGGTCATGATAACCCAAACCACTTGTATTTCCACTATTAAACCTTTTCTGCCAGCAGACTTGGAAACATGCCTTGCTCTGGGAATGATTTCTCAAGCAGTTTTATACGATGGGTGGAGGACCAGCGAGTGCAGAGTGTTTTACTTTGTGCCTTAATGCCCTTCCTGCTCTGTAACCCTCGGCACTGGACTGGGCCCCCTTTGGGATCCCCAAGCCACACGCTCCAGCTCAGACATCTCCGGTTCCCAGACCTCAACTGCCTGGAAAGTCCTGCTCCCGGAGATGGTGCTCGTTGGCTGTGCTTTCCCCTCTACCTGCATGGGGAAGGTCCCAGGGCTGCAGGAAGGCAAAGTCTCGAAGGGGAGATGTGTCCTGTGGAGATTCAAAGGGAGCAGAATATGCCCCGATGTATGTGGTTTTTAATGTTTTCTCATAGCCTAGCTTCACTGTTGCTGCTAAGCCTCCTCTCCCCAAGATGTGCTGTGTGTACATTGCAGGAGAGACCAATTAGCACATATGTGATAAATGCACTGCTGTGTGTCACTGATAACAGGTCGGTGATGTGTGTCTGAGAGCTAGACAAGGCTGGGAGATGTGAGCTGGCCTGGGAGCAAATCGTCAGCTGTCCCCCTAAGATGGGCTGGGAGCCACTGTGGGACGTGCAGGCTCGTGGGCACCGTGTGAATCAGCATGGCATCCCTGTGTAAATCAGTGTGACAGCCTTGTGCAAACCAGTGGGACATCAGAGGGACACCTGTGTGTAAATCAGGGCTGGGGGAGACAGAGCTGATGGTCAGAGCAATGGATTGAGGTTACTGGGCTCTTGTCCCATCCGTCCCTGGGCTTGCCACTGCGCTCTCCTAAAATACAAATTATAGCTCCTTTTCCCCACATTTTGCTGTGAGGCTCTTGCCTCTTGCCCTGAGCAAGTGACATCTCCTTTCCCTGCCTCAGTTTCCCCAAGTAGTTTGAGGGGGTTGCTCAGCACTGCAGAGGATGAGGAGGACAAACTGGCCTGCTGAATACCGTGAAGGCTTTTTCCCCCAGTGAGTTGGGAAGGATGGAGTGTCTTCATCCAACCTGTGATGGAAAGAGACTGGCAATGGGAGCTTCACTTCCATGACTCCTTAGGAGATCCCTCTGTCTTGTATGGGCCCAGTGTTTGGTCTTGGCACATACTGAAGGACATGCTCATGTCTCTGGTTGTCCATGTGCTGGAGATGCCTGAGGCTTACGTGGTTCTGGAAAAAGATATTTCTGTCCTTCCCTTCAGCAGTTTTTAGCTCCCTTGGCTTCCTGCTGCTCAGCAGAGGGGAAGATCCCCAGAAACATGAGGCTTTCTCAGCACTGCAGAGCCTGGCACAACACTGGTGTGAGCAGTATATGCTGCAAAGCCAGCACAAGCAGGCACAAGAATGCTCATTTCTAAAGCTCAGAGAGCTGCAAGCTCAGCAGAGGTGGGCTCTGAGGTCCTGTTTCATGCAGACACTTCATGCATCTTGCATGCGTGTTTGGAGCTGGGCTTAGCAAGCCACACCGGCTTCAATGCCTGTGCTGGAGCCCCGTCTCACACAAAGCACAAATAAAGACAAAACACTGGCAGCTCAGCGCCCTTGCACATGTCGGTGCCTTTCGATGTGCCTGTTGAGCTGCCTCCTCTTGCAGCACCCAGCAGGGTGGCAAGAAGCCTGGAAACGAGTTTAAAACTGCACGTGCTTAAGTGGCTGTGTATGTGTATGTGGTCTGGTGTATGCAGGAGGGCCCTGTGGTCCCCCTTATCCTCGGCATGGGTGTCAAACGCCGTCTCCTGCTGGCTAACATGCCTCCTGTTTCATTTGCAGAGGATGAGATTGTTTCCATGGCTGACTCCACCGCCACCATCGATGACATTGAAGGGGAGCTCTTCAAAATTGAGAGGATCAGAGAGATCCTGGTGAGGAGGGAGTCAGAGCTGCGGTACATGTGAGTACCTGTCCCCGCTTCCCAGCATCACCTCAGCATTTTCTGCCTGCCTGATCAAACACGGATCATCCCCAGGCTGCTTTCCACCTCGTTTTCCACCTGGAAACGCAGCCTCCCCCTCTGCTCTGGCCTTGTTCTGAAGGGACCTGAACGGGTCTCTGTTACAAAGCTGCCACTGACGCTGTAATGATTTGAGCCAGCCTATTTCTATGCAAACAGAGTTTATGACACGGGTTCAACTACACAAAATGTTTCCATATTCAACCGCAGACATGCTGTCTTCCCAGTGGGTCCATACTCTTCCTCAGCTTTTGGGCCGGGCTTAGGAAGGAACTTGAGGTTTGGTGGCTTATTGCTGCTCTCTGGAGGTATTGCTTTGCCCTAGCACACAGATCTCTGACTGTTGTACAGTCAGACGATTACAGGTTATTCTCCCCATATTGAAATATTCCACATCCTCCCAGTTCCTCCCAGCTCCCTCTCTCCTCCTCCATCCCCTGACTGCTGGGGGCATCAGGATGCATCGAGGCTGAACCGGCCTTGGGGCTGGACCAGCGTCGGTGCCTGATGCGTGTCTCCACACAGCATCCTGCTCTCACACCCAGCACAATCTCTGCAGCAAGCTGAGAAGGAAAGGATCTTCTTCAGGGTCCATTTCAATAACCAAAACAGATTTTGAGTAAAAATCTGTAGGCCTTTCACATTTAAGGCAATCAAATAGCCACAGTGTTGCAATTCTACTAACCAGCACTTAGGGTGATAAAGAATATTTTCCCTGAGTATATCGGGACATTGTATGATCTGGGAGGAAACAGACCGACTAGCATTTGCAGTCTGGGCTGATTAAGCTTTTTAATATCACTAAATTGCTATAGTCAGCTCAGTCCTGAGATCCCATGCTGCTGGGTCAACACAAAGCCTGGGATCTTTTGCTGGTAATGGCAAAAATCGTATTTACTGGGCTGCAGCATTTGATATACTGCTTTTTTTAGTGTGTCTGGGTCCCCACCGGTACCTGCACTACAGGGATCACCAGAGCCTGGAAATGGCCATGTAAATCCACTGTCTGGGGAAGCTATGAGCTGGGCTGCCATTTAGAGGCTCAGATTTTGGGTGATGACCTCTTTGAAGCACAGTTTCCCCTGAATATCTTATTGAAAAGAATTTCTGGAAATCATAAAAATTGTAGTTCTTATATGCTTTCCATGGCAACCAGTACCTGAATCTCGCAGGTGCTCTCAAAACTCACATCTCTTGCTTTTTCTTATCCCTGTATTTGTTTTCTTCCTTGGCTTGCACTTGGAAAACAAAATGAAATCACGTATGAAAACCATATCCTGGGGTGGGCACAGCTGCAGAAATGGTCACTTGGGTGTTTGAAAGCACCAGGATTATGTGTCTGAGTGGTTTGGAGGCACCATGGAGAAGTTGAGCATCAGCTCTGCAGGGCGCAGCAGCGGGGAGAAATGCGGCTCTGCAAGGCAGGGAAACCCAAGGGCTTCCCTGAGCATCACCACTGGAGAAGAGACATCCAGACCTGGATTCAGCAGAATGGGGTTAAAAAGGTTGGGGACCTGGGGCTGAAAGGGGTTTTTTTCCCAATGGGGGAAAAAAGTGTGATATCCAGGATTGGTTGCACAGCGGGGCTCAGGGCGGTGGACATCTCCACTGATGCGCTGCAAAGGGAGGAGTGACCCGTCCTGTCGGTCAATAGCGATCAGTGTTTTCTTCTTGTTGGAAATGTCAAACTAAAATGTTCCAACATTTTTGAGACATCTGTGCTGTGGAAAACAATGAAGTTTGGAAGATTTCCGTTTTTATAGGGCAAAAAGAAAGGCCTGAAATTCCTGTGGAAGATTCAGCTCTGCACCTCACCCTGCTCTGCACTGCTCCCTGGGCCAGGCAGGGGCAGCCTGGCTATGGCTGATGCTGCAATCAGTTTTATCACCAGAGGCAATCTCAGCTCCAGCAGCAGCCTTCTGGGTGCTTGTCTTTGCAATCTCTCCCTAGTTTTATAGAAATGACCCATTTATTATTATTCTCAATATCATTTTTACATAATTAAATTCCAATTTAATTTTAATAATGTTTCAGTTATCAGTTGACTATTTATTTTAATTTTAGTAAGCGTATTGCTAGCGATCAGCCTGGTGTCCACACGTCCCATGCAGACCGTCCCGCTGGTGCTCTTTGTACAGGCTCAAGACATTGCCACCATAGGACTGTGGGCAGGCAATAAAAAGACAAAAGGACCTCCGCGTTCTCCATGTGCAGCTCCCAGACATCAGCATCGGGGGATGTGCTCAGTGTGGTGTGCAAACAAATGAAGACACTGTCAGATGGAGCAAAAATCTGACAGAGCCAAGAGGAAGTCTTCTCTTGTGCCTGGGATGACCTCCTCCTACAGCAATATCTCACAGGGTCCCTCTTCATCAGTCTATTTTCACTTCCCATAATTAATTTTTCTGGTGTCCTCAGCTCCGCTGACAAAGCTGCACCTTCAGATAGCTCCAGCAAATATAACTCATCAGAAGGGGTGGACGGCATGACTCAGTGGAAGGACCTGCAGGATTATTGAAGATGCAGACAGGGCTTTAGTAATGCACACTTCAAAGGGGACCAAAGGCACAAAGACATCTCTTCAGGGTGGCACCATAACTCAATCATGTATTATCTGTAGACACAGATTGAGAGTTGAGGTTTCTCATCACTCATGGCTGTGGAGCTTGCTAGAAGTCTCAGCTGTGCTCTTCCAGGTTGAACAATTTTGCATGTGCCCTGCAAAGTGTCCAAGGAGTCCTGCATCGAGGGTTTGGACAGCCCTAGGAAGCTCACACTAAGATGCTGGGGGTGCTTGGTAGGGCTTAGGAGTATGTATTGTGCCTCTGTCTACATGAAAAATATGTTGGCTGATTCCTCATAGTGAGCATTTGAATATTCTGCTCCTCCAAAGCCTCTTTGGAGGCTCAGCCCAGGCAGATTCACCACCATGCCTTGTGGTGGTGGTTCTTACCAGCTTCTTCATGAAACTGGTTGGTGATTGTGATGGATTTTGGATGGAGACACTTTCTTTTAGCTTCAGGCCAGATTACAGAGTTGGGGAGGTGTCAGATGGTCTAGCCAGGGTAGTTCACCCATGCCAAAGGTAAGGCTGTAGAAAGAGAAGCTCCCAAATCCCAGCTCAACGGTCCAGCCCTGAGCAGGAGATTCAGCACCTTGCCACAGGGTGGCACCTCGTAGAGTACTGCCAATATGGATCTTCTGCGAAGGCTTGCAAAAACTGTTCTCGAATGAGCCAACAGCCAAAATCCCTGAGCAGGGACTTAAGTCCCCTGGTACCTTAATGCCAGGGAAATGGTGCTTCACCAGCCGCTGGCTGGACTGTGCCAAGGCTCGGGATGTTGCACCAGAGCTGCAGGCTTTTCCTAATCCTCCCAGTGAGGGGTGATGTGCAAGGAGCCCAGGGAGGGCTCAGAGTAGAAGGAAAAGTGTAAGATAGGTTGGTCTCTTCATGTTTTGGTTGGAGATGTGGCTGACCAAGGTTGGTCCTAGGCTGTGGTGCTTCTGAGACATCACCAAACTGCCTCCAGCATGGATAGGGCCACGCATCCTCCGTCTGCTCCATCAGCAGCTGCCACTGACAGAGGACTTGAGCTCATCCTGATCGGTGTCTTGCTGCTGTTGTGTGTTTTGAGTCCGAGTTTATTTCATTGCCTGTGGCTTCAGCAGGCTCCTTTTCTCCTGCAGAAATGACCTTGTTTCTCAGCAGACACCTGCAAAGTTTGCACATTTCCCTCCTCTGTTGTGTTTCATTTTCCTCCCTTTTTTTAGTACTGCAGAAAGGCAGTATAAAAATGTCAGTTCTTTTTATGTGGCAGTAGCTTTCATTTGTTTTGGGATTTTGCTGTTTGGGGGTTATTTTTTGTGAGAAGGAGAAACACAGCTGCTATCACATGGCAGATGTGCCAGGTTTTAATAAGTCTTCATTGTCATTGGAGCAATGAAACTTCTAATTGCCAATAACCAGTGACATAACCCATATTGCTCCAACAAAAGCTCTGAGATAATATGGGCTTCTCGTTCCTGTGGGAAGGCAGGTAAATCCATGCTCTCTGCTGCAGGCACTGAGAGCACCAGTGTTGGCTGGGTGTTGCTCTGGAGTTTTTGCACCTTTCCTCTCACAGTCTTGCCCTCAGTGGTTTTGTTTGTGTCTCTGCAGGATGGATGACATTCAGCTTTGTAAAGAAATCAGCCGGCTGAAACAGGAGCTTCAAAAACTCATCGCCCTTCCAGGTAAGGCTTTGTACAGCTGCAGAGAGCTGCGCCTTGCCGCTGCAGTCAGCAGAAAGGTTTCCATTAAATAAAAGAAGCTCTTGCACAGCTCCCACCCTGGGATGCCCCCAGAGACATCGCTGCTGCAGGCAGTGCGTGGGTGTCCAGAAATGTGGCTCCTCGTGTCTGACCTGAGATCTTTCTTGAGAGCTTTGCTGCTTGTAGTACTGCCAGGGAGTCCTTGTACAGGCCTGGGCTGAAGGGCAGAGGAAACAGAAAAGGAGAAAAAACATGAGTCCTTGAGGAAGAGCATGGGTCTGGTGTAGGAGGACAGGAATTGAGTGAGGTGGCAGTAAATGGTGACACAGTAAGACCTGCCACATACACTGAGGTCAATCCTCAAATGAGCTGAGAGGTCAAGCAGAGGACATTGTCAGACCACATGGAGGGGCCCCTTTGGAGGCAGCAGGAGGGGAGATACCTTCAAAGGCCTCAAGTACATGGAAAACAGAGAATTCTTACTGTGACCATGTCAGTGATGGGGCAGATGGCAGCAGCTGCCAGGGAAGGATTCCTGGATACAGCCAGGGTAAGATGGGTGCTGGGGGATGTCATGCCAAAAAGGGTCAGAGATGTCGCTGATTTAGGTGAATTAATCACTCAGGATGTTGAAAACAGGCAAACAGACCAGGGCAACTGATGTGAAAACTTCAGCTGGGAGAAAACGCTGCTTTTGTCTCTCCTTACCCTGACCAGTGACCCTCCATGTCCCTGTCACAGCCAGAGCCGCCCTTGACCTTTCACAGGCTAGGGAAGGCCAAACGTTCATTCGCTAAAGGATCCCCCTCAGCCAACATATACAGATGAAAGCACACACCAAACAGCTCAGAGTTTGAATGAGAATGAGCAAGGCTTCCCTACCAGCTGTGTCCACCACTGTTCACAAGGCTATGCCTCCTCCTAGGACATCTTCATTCCACCTCCAGTAAGGACTTTATGTACTCAAGGTTATCTCAAAGCCAAGGGTGGCAAGAAACCTTTCTAATGCCACAGTTTCTCTGTGCTGCATGTGTTTGTGAATCATCAGCATGCAGTCAAAGCCCTACTGCTGCTTGATATGCTGGTCCTGATCAGTTTAATATAACCCAGCTGCATCCAGAGGGAGGTGCAGACAGGGAGGGGAGGACTCGGCCATAAAAATGGGAGCTGCTTGCCAAATGTAAACTTGAATCTCATGTGGGCTTTTAACTTAAACACTTCCTAGTTCATAAAACAAGACTTGACCTAAACGATGGCTCAAGACCAGAGATAAACTTAGCCTTTTCTGAAGCTTAAGAAATGCGTCTGGCTTTCCTTCATCTGCTTAGATATTTCATTTTGATTCCCAGGTTCATTCATCTCATTTCATTCCCAGATTCAGTTGAAAGCAGAAATGCTGTTTGCACCAGGGATGCTCTTTTTGTCTTCTTTATAACTTGGCTCAAATCAGGCTGTGCTGGAAAAATCCTGCAAATCGTTGGTCTTGTGAGACTATAGCAGCAGATCATTCGTAAAAATGAGCATTGAACTTTGATTCAGATAAAGATTCAAACACGTCAGTGCTTACTCAGAGCTCACCCAGACCTGTGGCTTGAAATCTTGCCAGACCAAGGTGCCTTTAATAATTCAGACGGATATTGTGGTCATGATGGACTCTGACATCAGCAAGACAGAAAAGATTTGTTAATTAACTCCAAATAGCTGATGTTTTTGCATGCAGCCTGATGTTTCCGATTTGCATGGCATCCAGATGATGCTATAAAGTGCTGCTATTCCCACCAGGCAGGTGGGAACTGCTGCACAGAGACAGCACCCATGGCCAGGCAGCTTTGCATTAACTCTTCATGATAGCAGACCAGCAGCGGTGGCCCAGACCTCAGTCTAGATCAGCTTTCTCTGCCAGGAAGCTCGAGTTCACTCCCTGCACAAGACCACAATTGAAGGAACCTTTGTTTGCTGGGGATGTTTCTAACAACGTGATGATTATGAAAAGTTCTTCCTACTCAGACCCCTGCAGCAGCACCTCCGATCAATATACAGCAGGCTTCAGACTACAAATCAATACATAGTTTAGGTAACTGCTGAGACCCAGCCTATGGGGTTTGCTCCATACTGTGAATTTCACTGCATTTTTATTTAGCTGAAGGAAGACTGGAGATTGATCCATCCTGTGCTGGATTGATTTTGGAGCTGGCTGCTGAATTCAGAAATGGTATTAAGCAGCTACAGCACAGATGGTCATAGTGTCTACCTAAGGTAGCTCTCTGTTTATATTTAACACTCTTTAGCTCTATCTCTATCATCTTCACAAATCCCACTTACCATTATGTACCTATTTATATAGGACATGACTTCATAGTGATGTCAGAGTTTTCAGGTCTTCACCAACTCCCTGCCCAAAGATACATGCCACAAGTGGGTCCCATGGTGCTCAGGGTAGGTCAGTCTGGGGGTTCAGGTGACAACCAAGGCTAACACATTTGAAACAGCTTGGTAGACACTAGTGGTCATCCCCGTCACTGGGGTGGGAGTGGGGCTGACAGTGCTTTGAAAGGTCAGAGGGATCTCTGAGGTGATGAGATCACGGGGACCGTGTTCAGCAAGGGAATAAGGCTACAAAAACCAGTGGATCATACTGGTTTTCATGTCTCTGTATGTATGGGATAAATGGTGGTGTGAGGCATTCCCAAGGCACCTGGGCATTGTTGATAATTCTCTACACACCTGAATCCCTGGCTGGTTCCTCAGACACATGGAGGACATGACTGAGGGGATCTCTGGACCCCTACCCAGCTCAAGGCCAAGCTGAGACTGGTTGGGTGTGCTGGCATGGGAAATGCAGGAAATCCTAACTGAAGGATGATGTCCAAATCTGACATTTCTGAGCGTGTTGAGACCTGGTACCTAACCTCTTCAGCAGTGCAGAGTGAAGATCCCAGGTGAGCTATGGTCATCTTCCACCAGAGAGGTCACCTTGTCGAGGGGCTCTTCCTCTGCTCTGCAAAGCTCACAGCTGGATCTTAAAGTGCTCAGCCCTATGGAAAGTTTGGGGAGTAGCTAAGAATTCAAAGTTTGATGACACCAGACATGTCTCTTCCCAGCCAGAGTGGTTTGGGATGAAGTTGTTGCTTATTTAGCAGCCTGTATCTGGATCTAGGTGCTTACTGTGGGTTGGCTTTTACCACGACTCTCACATCTGCTCCCAAGTCTAGCAGAAGCAGAGCAAGCTTGGCCTTGGGATGGGCAGGATGGCCCCTGCTGGTGTGTTAAATGTGTTCCCTGTGCTGCAGAGAACGAGAAGTCCAACGAGGAGAAACAGAGGGAAGAGGAGCTGGTGCAGCAGATACACAAGCTGGTGGAAACGCGAGATTTCCTGGTGGACGATGTGGAGTTTGAGAGGCTCAGGTAGCTGGGTGCTATTTATTCCTTGTGCTGAGGACAGTGCAGTCTGTCCTCTGATCTGTATCATGCCTTGGAAGATGGTCCTGAAGGCCTTGCTGCTCCTTTCCTGAGTGCTAACTGATCTCTTTGTCACAGGGAAAGGGAAGAAGACAAGGAAATGGCAGAGTTCCTGCAAAGTAAACTCTCCAAAAGCTACCTCCAGAAAGCAAGTAGGTGGTTGATTAGTTTTATTCCTTGCACTGAGACTCCCTCGCAGTCTCTCCCCTTTCCTAAGCACCCTGTACTCAAAATTTTGTTGCTTTGCATGGGGATAGCTAACCTGGAGGCCATCTGTTGCTGGAGGAGGGTGCGGGGAAATGGCAACTGGGGGGTTGCTGGTCCTTGAGATCACATTGTGGAAACATCTCAAATTGATATAGATGTTGTACGCTCATTTCCCTCCTGGCATTTCCCAGTCAGCATGTCCTATGAGGATGGAGACAGGTAGGTGTCCTTTTATGGCTGGTGTAGTTCATCTGACCCTTTCCAACCAGCTCCTTCCATTTCATCACACCATTAGCTAAGGTCACAAGTTGTGGTATCCCTCCAGTACTCCTCATGGCCTCTGGTGGCTACCCTCTTCCCTGTACCCCCATCACTGCTGGAGGAACCTCCCCAGTGCAGTGGGAGGCATTTCCAGCCCAAGGTCCCTATGGCTGTGCCTGTAGCACACATGGTTGATCTGGTTCATGGATGCAGGAGCTCATACCCAGCTGTGGGTCTGAAGAGGGTCAGGATCTTAGTCCTGAAAGAAGGTCTAAGAAGAAGCGATGGGCCTGCGCTGTTGTCACCAGGCAGATACTGATTCCTTTTTCTGTAGCTCCTGTCAAAGAGAAGAAAATGACTTCCAGGGGGCAGCAAACCTCCGCACCATACATGACCAAAACGGGCCTCACCCTGCTGAAAGAGTGCTGCGGCTTCACCTGCTCCATCATGTAGGCCAGTTCCCAGCTCCTCTGCACGGGACATGACCACGGTAGTGTACACATCCCGGGCAAGAGGGGCTTCCTTGGGGTGCTGAAACAGCCAGGTGCCTGTGTGGGGTGGGTGAGTGCTGATGTCTGGGACATACACGGCTCCTGGTGCTGCAGGCATGGGGCATTAGGGACCACTGGGCTGCAGCCCTGCTCTGGAGGCTACCATCAGGGGAAAGTGCTGGAGCCCCACCAAGAGAGGGTCTGGAAGGGAAGCAGCTGTGGTCATGGCTGGGGGGAGGATGAGGAGATAGAAGGGGAAGAGAGATGGAGGGCAGGGAGGAGCAGGGCCAGGTGCATAGCAGGCACCAAGGTATCTCTTTGTGGGGATGTGCGGGAGAGGGTTGTCAGTCACATATACCACTGTGAACCTCTGTGAACCTGGTGCTCATGGAGTTACACTACCAATGCCTTTGTCTTCCTGTAGCATCTGCTTTGAAAACCTAAGAAGCCATCAGGCCGTTCTGTCCTTGAGGGTCCTCACCTGCCTTCTTGCTGACCCTCCTGCCTGCTCCTTTCCAGTGGGTTGCAGTTAAATCACTGGCATTTGCTGACAGCCAGATGTGCCCAGCTGTAAAGTGCTGTGCTCATCATTTTTAAAGCAGAGTTTACATGGGGCCATGCTGTGTTTGCTGTGCAAGACCGTGCTCTGGCTGCTGAGGGGCAACCAGACAAGTCACCACCCTTTTGCAAGTGGTTCAGGACATAAGCCCATTCCAACCAGTGTCACTTTCTAGAAGTCTCAGGGAGTGGCAGACCCATAGAGAGGTGCTTCTTGCCAGTGCAGCCTGGTGTGGATTCCCCACCTTATCCCAGAAGGCTGAAGTGACCAGGGACACAGGTGGGTGTTTGGATCCCCCCTGGATCAGCTTTGCCTGGCTCAAGCTGCCTCCCTACTCTTGTGGCTGTGCATGACACTGTACCACAGCAAACACTGCCAAAATTGGTGTCTGTGGAGTGCAGACAAGTCAAGCAAGGCCTAAACAGCTTGGTATGGGATGGAGCAAAGGCTGGACTGATAATAGTTGATGATATGAGCTCACTCATGCCAGAGTGTGATGAGGACACAGGTGAAGCAAGTCACATCTGAGATGAAGTTATGTCTATCAGGATGTGCTTTAATACAGTTGAAGTGAAATTCTGGGCTCCAGCACCACAAATCTGAGCCCAGACCTTCCAGCTCATCACAGAGCAGCAGCAAGGAAGTGAAACCACCCACCCACTGAGCTCCCACCTTCCTCCATGCCTGGAATTCACCCATTAGGTGATGAGCATGGCCAAAGCGGGATGCTAGGTCCCAGCTGACAGCATGTGTGACGAGCACTGTGTAAGAGGAAGACGATGGAAATGGAGGTCCAGTGGATTGTGGTCTCTGTGGGAGGATACATCTCATCCTCAGTACTGCTGGACACAATTGTGCAGGTGGCCTGATGCCCAAGGCTTAGTCTCGTTGGCATTAGGCACTCTATAAAGCAGGGTTGGCTCTCTAGCCATTGGAGGAGGGAGGCAACAAGGGAGGTATCTGTGGTTGCAACCAATTGTTTCCTATCTCTCGCCTTTCCTCCCCAGGTCTCCAGTCAGAGTCCACAGTCTGCACTCTTCCGAGAGTTTCAACTTCCCATCATTGTTCATGCTTCCCACTGCAGCACCTCCACTGAAGAGACTTCCCAAGCGGCTGGTGCAAGCTTGAATGAAGGCATGTGTCCTTGATGTCCTTGGTGTCACGTCAACAGTCGTCTCCTCCATGACATCAACAAACACCAGATTCTACCTGAGCTCAGCTTGGAAGAGGTGTCTGCAGCAGCAACAAGTCCATGACAGAGAGGCTGGTGCAGTCCTTCACCTGGACAGAGTGGTAAAAAAGGCACTGGGAGCTAATGTTTGGAGAACGTTGTGCTCCACCATCCAAGACATGCTGTGGCCACAGATGATTTTTCATCCTTAGCTTTGTACCACCTTGTGAGTCCTTGTGGGATGATTCCTGAGGACTCTCAGTGGAGAATGTTTCTGGTCTGGGTGTCATTGTGTTTACGTCTGTCTTATTGCAAGGTGCTCTGCGGCACTGGGTAGAGCTGAGCAAGGCATGAAGGGCAGTCCCCAGGGCCAGCTGAATGAAGGGCTAATTCTTGCGAAGCTATCACCTGACCACAGACCTGGTGTGTTGAACTACGGGCAGATGAGTTGCTTCTCCCACCTCACTATTACTGGATTTGGTTTTCGGCAACAAGAAAAATGAGAAAATTTAAGCAGAAGAGAAAAGGAGAAAAAATCAGAACAACAGGGCACCATGCAGAAGGAAATAAAACCCAAACAGGAGTCTGGAAAAGTGGCAGGGAAAGGTGGAGACATCAGGCGAGAGACACTCACTGCCAAGAGGGCATTCAGTTCTGCTCCCCAGTGCCCCAGCCAGCACCTCTGAGCTTGGCACCATGTGCTGGACATAAAGTGCTGTGTAAAAGACTCATGGCTCCCTGAGGTCACCCAGTGTCTCAGATCCTGTTGTCCCTTTGAAGCATCCATCTGTGTTGAGATGGCACTGCCAGAGCTTCCCACCGCAGCAGGACAGGGACTCTCCTTCTCACTGGGTGTGAAGGCCTCTCACATCTCCTGCCCTGCACTTCTGCCCTGTAGGCTGCTATGGCTTTACTGGGTGTCCTGAGGTGGCTTCCCATGTGGGTGACTGCCCAAGAGCTCTAGTTGCCCTCTGGCCAAAATGCTGATTCCTCCAGCTCAGTCCTGCTGCATCTTGCTGTAAGGGTTTTGAGATGATGTTCCTGCCTGGGTCACTGGCCAGCACGCCCATGCCAGTGGAATGGTCACAAACCATCTGGCTCTTTCCATTGCATCTGATAGCACATTCGTCTTTATAAAACACAATGCACATGGAATCCTTCCTAGTGCAATGCCAATAAGCAGGTCCAAGTTGCTCCTGCATTTCTTTATCAGCACTGCCAGAAAACCCCGTGTGTGTGAACCTTTGCAAAGGGGTTTCCACACATTTGTCCTTCCTGAGCAATCTTCTTCCACTATGGATCTTACCAGCAGCCAGAAAAGTCCACAAACTGAGCTAGTTTCTCTGCACACTCACAGACCAGGGTGCAGGGCCCGAATGAGCCAACATGGCACCAGCAAACTTGACCCCACTTTGGCTCATGTCACCTCTGAGTTGACTTCAGTGGTTTCAGTCTGAAGCCTACTTACATTTTGTGCTGCTTGTTGTTAATGACCTACAGCATCCTGCCAGCACCACCTGCCAGTTCCTGGTGCTCTCCTCACTTGAGGGAGGCTTCAGTGTGGGCTGTAGATCACAGGGGCAAATTAAGTCCTCTCTGCTTTGCTAACCCTGTGTAATGGAGTGAGGTGCAGTACACAGTGGGGTTGTTGTCCAAGCAGAGATGACAGGCCATCATCAGTAGCATCCATCCTGGAGTTGATGGGACAGATTGGGCCACTCACTCCCTGCTCTTGCAGAAACTGTCCAGTGGCTGCTTTGCTTGGTCACTCTGTGGTCACGCATGTGTTGCAATATTGGTGTTTGCACATAGACCAAAGGCTCAAGACTTAGAAGGCCACCCTCAGTGCCTCTACCCTCCGCAGGGTCTTCTTGGAATGGGTGAGTAACTGAGCCAGTTTTGTTGGTGGGACTGAGAGGGAGCCAAAGGCAAGGAAGAGCCATTGATTCAAAACTTGCTCCCCAAATTCATCCCTACCTCTGCCCCACAAGGCCCCGAGACCCAGACATCAGCTGAGCAGTGCTTGGGTAGGCAGGGAGGATGTCCGGGGGAGATGGGCAAGGTCCTGGCCTCTTGTGTTCTGTGTTTGCTGGCTGTGTTTGTGTGTCTGGTCATGGAGAAGGAGACAGTCTGCCATCCTGGGCGTACCATACTGTTTGGCCTGCATTTAAACTAATGGCAAAGGTGTGCAACACACAGGAGTGACACTGATTCATGTGCATTGATTTCAACCCAAACAAATAAATGTCTGTTGAAAGCTTCATTTGTAGATATTTTCCCTGCCTGAGACCTTTGCAGAGAGATGTCTCAGGCTGTGTCACAGCAGGGTGTTTGAAGTGGAACAGAAACAAGATCCTAAAAAGGCTGGGTTTTGGAGCTCCCTGGGATTGCAGGAGCATGAAGAAGCTCCTGCTGCAGCAGTAGAATATCCAACCCTTCCATTTCTGGCTGTTGGTCTAACATTTTACTTTTGGGCCAGGCTGAAAAATTAGTTGAAATGCAGGAAACTGCCTCCCTGGTTTAATCGTTAATACTCAGAACCCTGAACACTTCTGATGTATTTTTTCACTGATACCAGCCTTCTGTCCTCACTAAGCCTCAATTATACCATTGATAGGGGGGTGTGGCACATCAAATGTCTTTTATATATGGCACTGAAGGAAGTCTGGCTGCACCGTCTCTTCTCTTGGCCCCTCAATTCTCCCCGTCCTGTATCCCACCTCACAAGGTGCTCTCAGGAGGAGGAGCGGGACTGGCAAACCTGCAAACCATAGGGTCTTGTGGGTTTGGGAGTTGGCTGTCTTTGATATGGGTAATTAAAGAACATATGAGAAGTGCCTCATGGTGGACATGCTGGAGAGGACAAGGAGGTGGGAGATAGGCCAGGTAGGAGCAGAGAGGCAGGAGACTGTGCTTTGCTGGGTCAGTTGTGTAGGACCAGAGAAGCTCACAGTCACTCACAGATGCGACGTGGTTCTCTGCCAGTGACAGCTAAGAGGGGACCAGGCAGCTCTGGCACGGCATCCTCTCTTGGATCGTGTAGCTGGAAACTGCATGCACAGAAAGGATGCTGTAATTTGGGTTTAATGACTTCCATGTCTTTGCCACCTGGCACCTGATGGTGCTTGGCATGCCAAGTCCCAGATAAGTGCTAATCATGGGGTTAACAAGCCAGCAATGTCTTCTGAAGTCACTGCTGAGGACAGTGGTCAGTTCCTCCAGTGGGAATCCC